GAAGGGAGCGGAGAAAATTAAGCGGCCAGCGGCCTCCCCGAATCCCTCCTCCTCCTGCTTCTCATGTTCCTCCTCCTCCTCCTCCTCCTCCTCCTCCTCCTCCTCCTCCTCCTACCCCTCCTCCTCCACAATTACACAATATGAATACTACTCTCCTCCATCCCCTGATGGCGTGCGGAAGATAGCGGGCACCCCTCCGCGTACTGGTTTTTGGGTTTTCGCTTGGGTTTTGTTTCTAAATGATGCTCTCGCTGGGCGCGGGCTTCATTTTCGGGCTTCCGCTCGTTCCGAATCGTGCTCCCGCTCCAGCGCTGGCCTCATTTCCGTGCTTCCGCTCGTCCCGAATCGTGCTCCCGCTGCAGCGCTGGCCTCATTTTCGGGCTTCCGCTCGTTCCGAATCGTGCTCCCGCTGCAGCGCTGGCGTCACTTCCCGTGCCATGTCACGGCATGCAATGCAATGCTAGGTTGCGTTCCGCTGCGCGATGCCATGCCTTCAGCTGCAGCTCCAGTGCGTAAGTGCCACGTCATGCTATGCCATGCTACGCTTTGATCTTCAACGCCATGCTATGCAATGTTATGTTCGGGGCCGCTGTGCGATGCCATGCTTTGCGTTGCAAAGCTTTGTGATGCAATTCTTCACCACGCCACGCCACGCCATGCTGGGACATACTACGCTTTGCGGTGCTCTGCTACGCCATGCCATGCCGTGCTCTACAATGCATCGCGTACCCTTTCGGGATCATTGCCCTGCTCAACATCCGACTGTGCGAGTAGAGAGGGGATCTACGCCATGGTAAGGGATGGGAGGGAGGGTAGGATGTCAGATATGACGCGAGCGCACCTAGCTTGTCCTCCCCCTCCTCCTCCTCCTCCTCCCTCCTCCTCCTCCTCCTCCTCCTCCTCCTCCTCCTCCTCCGCCTCCGCCTCCTCCTCTGCTCCTGCTCCTGCTCCTGCTCCTGCTCCTCCTCCTCTTCCTCCTCCTCCTCCTCCTCATCCTCTTCCTCCTCCTCCTCAGCCTCGTCTTCCTCCTCGTCCTCCTGCTCCTCCTGCTCCTCCTCCTCCTCCTCCTCCGTCGCATGCAGACGGAGATGGAGGATATCGCTAGATACTGCCAGCATCCACGCTGTGTTGAGAGCGACTAGCTCTCGAGGACACCATGTGGAAGGCCTTTGAAGGCACTCTGTCTTCGAACTGTGCTGTCTTCTCTGGCAAGTGGAGTGGGCAAGTGAAGTGGAGTGGGAGGAAAGTCATGCGGAGTGGGAGGGTAAGTGGGAGCAGGGGGATGAAAAGGAGAAGGCTTAGGAGGGCGAGGAGGGGAAGCAGGGGAGGAGGAGCAGGAGGGGAAGCAAAAGAGGGCGAGAAGGAAGAGGAGGATCAGCGGCCGCACCCAGGCGGAGACTGCTACCATTCAGTGGGGACCGTCCGACGCCGCGCCGTTCGCATCCCCAGCCAGGCCCTGAGGGCAGGAACACTTCAGCCGATGATTCCTGACGACGACGACGACGACGACGACGACGACGACGACGACGACGACGACGACGACGACGACGACGACGGCCGCCGAAGGCCGCCGAAGGCCACCCGAGGGCCGCCGTGTGGCGGCCGAGGGGCCGCCCGAGGGGCCGCCCGAGGGCCCAGCGAATGCCGCCGAGAGCGTCTGGGTCCAGACATCTCCTCCTCCTCCTCTTTAGCTCCTGCTCCTCCTCCTCCTCTTTCGCTCCTCCTCCGCCTCCTCCGCCTCCTCCTCCTCCTCCTCCTCCTCCTCCTCCTCCTCCTCCTCCTCCTCCTCCCCCCTCCTCCCCCCTCCTCCTGCTCCTCCTGCTGCTCCTCCTCCTCCTCCTCTTCCTCCTCCTCCTCCTCCTTCTTCTTCTTCTTCTTCTTCTGATTCTTCTTCTTCTTCCTCCTCCTCCTCCTCCTCCTCCTCCTCCCCCCCTCCGCCTCCTCCTCTCCTCCTCCTCCTCCTCTCCTCCTCCTCCTCCTCCTCCTCCTACTCCTCCGCCCTCCTCTCCTCCTCCTCCTCCTCCTCCTCCGTCCTCCCTCCCTCCCTCCCTCCCTCCCTCCCTCCCTCCCTCCCTCCCTCCCTCCCTCCCTCCCTCCCTCCTCCCTCCCTGTGTCCCCAGAACTCCGAAGCCGGATCTGTGCTGTTCAGCGCGGCGCCCGAAAGGTCTGGATCCCGTCCGGGGGACCCGCCTTTCATCCCAGGTCGTCTTCTGACGGCCCCGGGGCTCGGTGAGGGCCTCCCGCCAGGAGGCTCCCGGAGACCGAAACTGGCGAAACCAAGAAAGCACGCGCCCGTCGCATTGCTTCGCGGCGCTGAGGACGTCAGGGAAGGCTGCCGAGGGCATCGAAAGCCGCCGAGGGCCCGCCGAGGGGCCCGCCGAGGGCCCCGCCGAGGAGCCCGCCGAGGGGCCCGCCGAGGGGCCCGCCGAGGCTCTCCGCGGGGCCGAGGGGGGCCCCTCCTCCTTGCAGAACTCACGCTCGGACGTGGCGCTCCGCTTGC